CTCTATCTCACCGACCCTAACTTTGATTTGTAATTTTTGAGCTTATTAGCTCGGTTAAAGATTGAACACCGAGTTGGACCATTGGTTTGAATTTCTCCACAACTCGACCATCTAGTTCTACTTTTCAGTTAACAAAAGTTGAAGAGCCTTCAAAATTTGGTGTCGTGATTTTTGAGTCAGAGACGGGCCAAGTTAAGCGCTTCGTTGAGAAACCGACAGAATTTGTGGGCAACAGGATAAATGCTGGCATCTACCTCCTCAATCCCAGTATTATTTCACGCATTCCAGTGAGTGGACATTCGATAGCACGTCTTATCACTCTGTCACTTTCGCCTACTCTCTTTGTTGTTGTTATTGTTTTCTTCGTTTGTTTAGCTCAAACCGACCTCAATAGAAAAGGAAATATTTCCAATCCTGGCGGAGGAAGGATCCCTCTATTGCATGTCCATTGAAGGTATTTTTGGTTGTCGTATTTGTTATGGATGTATTTCTCCTCACGGACGATGACTTTCCCCTTAGTCCATTTACTTAATTATTAAATTAATTAACGAGATTAGTCTTGTCATTCCTTTGATCTTCACTCCATTGCTTCCCCTCCCAGCAATAACTCGAACGCTTGTTCATTCACCTATTTTCTTACGGTCTCTTAAATTGCCATTCTTATATGCAATCCATTTGGAGCGTTTCGGTTGACTTGTGGTTCACCATGCCTCTGCTAAGCAAACCTATATACAGTGCTCTTTTAAGATGCCATCCACCCCAAGATTTGTGGTCATCATCATTTTGCGTACGGAAATTCTTGCATTGAAATGCCACGATGAGTGGTTTGGTGGATGGATGTAGTAACGCGTCCTCTTAGCTCTACTTTTGCCGAAGTTGTTCACATCTTCCAAATAAGCACTTGCAATTGTGTTGTGCGACTTCAAGCTTTGCATTTTGCACTCCTTTATAGCTCTGATTGGCCCGAAATGAGGCTGTGGAGTCTACCTTCCTGTCAAAAGTTTATTTGTCTTTTGTCGGCTTTTGTAAATGAGCACAATAGCACTGTAAAACCGCATGCTGAGTTGAAAGGATGCTTTTGGTCTTTTTAGAGACATCAAAGGGCATAGGCATCTTAGATCGTTCGCACATGCTACTTTTTTGTAATCAGTAGAATGTACCTCCATAATCACTTGTGTGTGAATCGAACGTTATTTTCACTGTTGAGGTTTTTGGATGGATGTTGGTCAGCCGAAGGACTTTATCACTGGCACAGCTCTATACCTGGCTTACCTTGCTGAAACAGAGCCCAAAACTCTAGCTGCCGGTCCCAATATCTGCGGCAATGTCATCATTGTGAGCCCTGCTTGTACTTACACTTCATGCTTTTTTTGCGATTGAGTCAATGTCACCAGACGAAAAGGGCGTTTTTGCGATGATCAGTGTTTACATTCGATGTACCTAATAATGTGATGTGGCGGTCTTCGTTTGGTGCCTATTGTTTATTTGCTAAGGATTCTATCTGTGAGGTGAATGTGTGCTTTGACGAAATTTTAGCGCTAAGACATGACATTTTGTCTTGAAATAGGATCTTCAGACTAAATTTCCATGCCGTCTCTACGATTGTCACCTACTTTAAGCAAGTTCCTACCAAACTAATTCTAGGTATTTAAGTCGTTAATGGTGGAAAAGTGTTTGACGCCTAGGTACACCTTAACTGATGCTGTGATCGACCACACTGCTCTGTTTGGCCAAAACTTGCAATTTTGGCCACTTACTAACATCAACTTGAAAACATTCACATCGAATTTGACTGTCTGTGTCAAAAATAACACATTTTACAGAATGAGGCGTCATCTTTCTATCTCCTCCTCATAGTTAGTTGCATAGAACTATCGCAACAGCCTACATCCTGTTTCCTTTTTTTCTTTTATTTTTTCCCTCTTCATTTAGCATCCAACGGCGAAAGTGAACGCGAACAGCCTGATTGGGCCTAATGTGGTGATTGGTCCAGACGTAGAGGTGGAGGAAGGGGTGCGTATACAGGCCTCCACCCTGCTACGCGGCTGTAAGGTACGAAATCATTCCTGGGTCAGCAACAGCATTATTGGGTGGAACTGTTGCGTTGGCAAATGGGTAAGTCATCTTTCCATTCACCTCTTCTCCCCTTTTCCCTTGACTGGATGGCATTGTCACTACTTCATTATCCACTTGGCAATAGGTGCTAGGAGGTCAAGAAAGTTTATCCTAGATGGTCACTTTTGATGACTAAAATTGTGCTCTCCTGTTTATGTGAATGCATTGTGCGACACAAATCAAGAGGTGTCAGTGCGTTGGCGAACGAAATGCTTATTGAACGCGGCTCTATTTGACCACCTCTGATTTACAACGCTACAGACTGTGATGTTCCTTTTTCGCCCTGATAACATCCACTGATTGGACATTGTGATTGGTTCGAAGAGAGGTGCAACAAGAGCCTACGAGCAATTGTTGATCAGAGCATCAAACTTGCAAGACTTTTGATTTAAAGGAAAAACCTCCCTCCTCTTTCATGCATACCACAAAGAGTATTCTACTCAAATGGACTTCTGTGATTGTAGGTACGCATGGAGAACGTCTCAGTGTTGGGCGAAGACGTAGAGGTTGTGGACGAGATGTACGTCAATGGTGGTCGAGTGCTTCCGCATAAGCAAATTAAGGACTGTGTCACAGAACCACAGATCATTATGTAATTCTCTCTCGTTCATTCTATCATCCCTCATCCTCCCCACTTTAATTACTTCCGTTTGTAACTGCTTGTGTATTTATTATCAACTGTCTTGTATACTTGAAAGTTATGTTTCCTTTTTTTTTTGTCGGTGATTAAGTAGATGCGACTGCACCACACACATCACTCCATCATACATGCATGGTTAGTTCATGTCATCTTTAAAGGTCAATTTAAAAGTTGTTAATGGAGTCGACATTTGAGTGGTACGTCCCCCTCGCTCCTCCTCCCGGTGGTCGCTCAGCCAATCAGGTTGGGGTCAGGGTGGTCCACTGCACCATGGTGGGACTACAATTTCCCGATCTTTTTTTGCATTATATTTGTCCAGTTTATTTGGAAATTGTGTTACTTGGTTAGGAGTGTACTGTGGTATTCCTTATTTTTTTTCCTGCTGCATTTTTTAATGATTTCTAAGCTCATCCAATTCGTATCAAGTAATTGAGAGGGGAAGAGGGAGGAGAAAAAAAAACAAAAGATAAACAAAAAACAAAGTATTTATTACTTAAATAAAGGGGAAAGCAAGAAGTACATCAATAGAAATTTTCAATTTCACCGATTCGTATTTCTCTTTCCCGACGAAATGAAGGCAAGCAAAGAGGGTGTCTCAGAGTTTTTCAAGTGCCTCAGCGAATGATCGCATGACTGGAACCGAGGCAATTTTCCACGTCTCCGAGAGGAAACGGAAAAATGATTCGGGTGCTGAGGATTGCATTTTCTTGAGAAAAAGGAGATCCTTCCCGCTTATATTCTCCCTATAAACCCTAGTAGAATTAGGGGCAAAAATATATACGTATGTATGGATATATTACTAAATAAATGTTTTTTGTCCCCGCATTTGTTACCGAGACCGATCTGGAGGATCGGCCAGTGGTGCACCAACAGTTTACTGTTTCAAACTACTAACAGTTTTATCGTGTGAGTTGACTTATAATCAACCGAAACTTGGATAAAATTTGAACATATTAATCGGTAAGAGGTGACTGAGGAGACCTGTCAATGCGCTTCAATTGGACATTTTGACATCTTGGGGATGTCAGGGGTCTTAAATTCTGTATGTAGTCTTTTCTGAAGGACAGGCGTGATAGAGTGTCACCTTCATCAACTACCCCAACTCCGTGTTATGCGAGATGCGACTCTGACAATGAAATGTTGTAAGCAGGTGAAATGAGCCCAAATGGATATGCCTGGACATCTTAGAAGGAGGAGCAGACGCAATCCTTTGTCCTCAATCTTGCAGTGCTGTCCTTTTAGACGAATCTTTCTACCGCCTCTAGGCATCAGAGAGTTCTTCCTTCATTGCATTCCAGTTTCAGGGGTAGAACGAGACTGCAGATTAAGTGAGAGGGGTAAGAGGAGCCAATGTTTTGGAAATTCGGTCTCCTGAGATGATTGACACCCTCTGTGTTTCACAGAACCGAATCCTTGACCTTGGCGCTCGGTAGAGGAGAGGGGAAATGCAATGCACTAACTGTTTTCCTAACTCTGTGTTTTGAGCGCTGTCAACAAAGCTATTCCATCATCGTACCACGGCAGAAGGGTTTAGCCTTCAGGCCACGTCAGCGGTCACACAGACGCCAAAGTACTTAGCTACTTAGACGAAGTTAAAGGGGGGGGGGAGGAGGAGAAAAAAAGGCAACTTCAGCAGTTTCCATTTTCACATTTGCAAAGTCGTCGTGGGGGATGTCTGGTGCATTTGACTAATAAAGTATCACACACCCACACACACACACACACCACTTCCTTCTAGAATAGCCAAGCAATCATGCACCATTGCAAGTTCTACAACTTGTCTCCAACCGAACATGCTATGCCACGTGTCTTTTCCGTCTGTGCCAGATTCACTAGGAGGGAGGCGGCCGTATATAAGACAAAAAAAACTTAACTACAGAATGCATCTTGAGGAGCAGTGCCGACATGTTGAAATACTCACAAACACAGTCAGGCATTTTTGAGTTTACAGCAGAAAAGCCAATTGCAAGTTATACATCCTCACATTGTTTTGGTGCTCGAAGTTGAGGTAGCACCGACACCTGTCCAGGTGACCGACAACTCCATTTCCATATCCACTTGTCCATGAGGTGTCAAAAAGGATGACTACAGACAAAGTGGACAGAGGTGGGGCAACCTTGCTAGTTAGAAGTTTCAATTGCTTTGCGACTCTACTATTCTCAATGTGGGTATGAAGGCTCCATCATTCCACGCCTTCGGAGCGAACGAAATGACCTTATCCTGACCTTTTGCTCAGTCATTCAAACTACAATCAGTGCATTGTCTGCTGTGCACCGCACACGCATACATGGACGGATGCAACCACAAGAACGCGTAGCCTTATTTTGTTAGCCAAAGTGATGCTCACTTTTTGCTCTAAAAGTAGTCTGTTAGCTCGGTCATCTAACATTATCATGGCATTATGCG